TTTTGGGCCTATTCTTTACCTTACCTCCCTATTTCCGTCCCATTTCTCATTCCTATTTGGATTCTCATCTCCCCTTTCACTTTTTTTTCCCCCAAACCACCAATAATTGTTCGTCAATTTTAATTTGGAGGAGTGAATTGAAGTGTTTCTGATTTTTTGGGGGAAAAAAGTGAAAGGGGGGATGAGAATCGAATTAGGAATGAGAAATGTGAGGGAAATAGGGAGGGAAGGGAAAGAATGAGCCTAAAATGACGTCATGTGATAGTTGAGAGGTAAGAAGGTGGTAACTTTTGATGTTTTTGAAAATAGAAGGCGGTAATTTTTTTTAAAAAATAGAAGGTTGTAATTGCTAAAATAGACATAACAGAAGGTGGTAATTGTCAAAATTTTCTGATATATGTATTGATACTTCCTCTATTCTTTTAAGTGCGTCACTTTCAGTTTGACAGAGCAATTAGTAAAGTGGAGATTGGTAATTATAATGAATAAAGGGGATAATATTTAAAGAAAAATTAGTAAAATGATCATATTATTACTAATTACTAATCAAAGGATTATCAAGTAATTGGGGTGTTTCTTGCACCATTCTGGTAAGTTGTAAAATTAAATAATAATGTACAGTGATTAGATTTTTTTTTTTTTAAAAAAAAAAAAAAAGGAAAACGTATTTAAGATTAATGGACATATTGCGGGAATGACGATATACCTAGCTATAGAAAACAATACAACTCTTTTAGTAAAATTGTGTCACATCTTTTAATTATGAGAAAGTGGAGTTTTTTTTTTTTTTTTTTTTTTGAATAGATGAGAAAGTGGAGTTAGGTAAATAAAGATGTGACAATGAATATATTAGGATAGGAGAGGGGGTATTGATTAGGTATTTAGGTATCTAGACCATTTTTGTGCGGAGTACATATATTGTAATTTAACAACCATTTTTTAAAAAAAAAAAAAAAAAGAATTTAACCATCAAGTTTAGTGTCTGTTTTTTTAGTTTCAATGTATTGAAAACATAGGTGATAAGCTGATAATTAGAAGCGTCATATTATGTAACACAACTAGATTAATCTCATGTGTTGTTGCACGGTTTAAATATATATTTTTTATTTAAAATTGTTGTCAATATTCTTTATTCGAAAAAATATAATCATAATCTTATTTATTAATTTTGAAAGAAATATTGTAATTGTTTAGTTTTAGAACTTAGGACAAAATAAAATAGAGAAAAAAATGATGATGTCATAAATAGTTTTGGCGGGAAAAAATTTCATAAGAAATTGACAAGTGTCCTTTAATAATGTCAGCATGTTTTGTTTTAGTTTTAGTTAATAGATAGATTAGTAAAGATGCATTATTAGTTACTATAAGACTAGAATAGACCCGGTCTACAATAACTTATTGTAGACCCAACCTTCTAGTTTACCATACGAATGCGATTATATCATTCGAAATGTGATTATATTATTACAAAAGTGATTATATCATCTTGAAACTATTATGTAAATGTATCACTCAAAAAGTGAATTTATTATTATAAAAAGTATCAAATAGTAAATTACATCATTCAAAAGATGATTTTTAAATTTTATCATCCTAAAGAAAATTATATAATCTCATTAAATGGTTTAATATGAGATCAAAATATGACTCACAAAAAGATAATTATATCATCTAAAAAAGTAATTATATAATGTGATTATATTATTTGAAAGTGTCAAATTTTGGGTCTACAATAATTTATTGTAGACTGGGTCCATACAAGACCAATTGTATTAGTTATTATCACAGTATTATTTTGAAATTCGATCTCTTTCTGTTATAATCAAATCCAAAAAAAAAAAAAAAAAAAAAAAAAAAAAAAAAGCAGTGCGCCAATTATTAAACATCTAGCTAATTATATATACTATAATTAAGTTTGTCCTTTGATCTAACACTCCAATAATTTGGTAATTATGTATGTTAGGTTAGAAAGGAGAAACTAGGAGAGAGGATAGCAGCACTACACCAATTAGTTTCACCTTTCGGCAAGGTATGTTCAAGTTCCCACTTATGCTTTTTCTCTTCCTATAAATCAAGCCACGTACCACTATTTTTCTTTATTAATTGTGATTAATTATTTAAAGAGGGAATAATTAGAGAGATAATCAAGCATGTATTATACTAATGAGTTGCCCATACATACATACTTTTGTACGTACCGAATTATATTAATTAATTATATTTTACATTCTTGCTTTTTAGACGGATACAGCTTCTGTATTGACAGAGGCAATTGGATATATCCAATTTCTTCAAGATCAAATTCATGTAAGTTTTAATTATTATTATTATTATTATTATTATTATTATTATTATTATTATTATTATTATTATTATTATTATTATTATTATTATTATTATTATTATTATTATTATTATTATTATTATTATTATCATTATTATTATTATTATTATTATTATATATACTCCTTTAATTTATGTCAATTATACTATAATGTATATATTTTTCCTTCATTTTGGATTGATTCTCTAATTTACTGATATTTATGTATCTCTTTGTTCTTCGCAGACACTTTGCATGCCTCATGCTAAGCCTTCTCGTAGCAAGCCTACTAGACCCTTCGAAATGGTAATTAAACACTTTATTCATTAACCATTAAATTTAACCTAATTAAGTGTGACAAATTATTGACTTATAAGGTGAATTAAGCTCCACGGCGTGGTTCTTAAAAACATATACTTTGTACTCTGTACAAACTATTCTAATTAATAAGCGAACTGAGGATTTATATATGAGATCGAGTCCTATCTGCTTTATCTATAAGAAGAAAACTTTCACCTTTTGATAATTCAATTATTACTCCGTATAATCTAAACTATAAATTGAGGAACTTTTTCAAAATGTAATATAAGTTGTTAAGTTACTTTTATTGCAGACTATTTTTAAGTCTTTATAGGTTTCATGCACTACAAATAGGAAATTAAAAGCAACACTTCTATTTCCATACTATTAGTAAAATAAAAATAAAAAGGTTACTGATATATACTATGTTAGTGAAGCAAATTATGATTCAGTTAAGTTCGACAATTAAAAACAATATTTTGATAACCCAAAAAAAAAAAAAAAAAAAAAATTTGCTTGAATTGTGTTTATTTGGTTGATTGTAGGGGCTAGGAAGTGAAGAAGAGGGAAAAGAAGAAGAAAGAATAGAACTTCGAAGGAGAGGATTATGCCTTGTGCCATCCTCGTGGACATCATACCTCACGCCAACCCAATTGGATGCATCCAATCATCCTTCTTTTTTTTAGGTTTTTTTTCTTTTGTATTGTTAGGCATGTTTCCACTCATGGAATTAATGTAAGGAGAGCATAGATCAAGTATACTTTTATTATACTACCCCAAAACATAATAAAAACAATGTTTTTTTTTTCCTTTTTCTTTGTTGAGCCAATTAGGTTGTTCAACTTACCGGATAAAATAAACTATGAAAGTTATATATATATATATATATATATATATATATATATGTATATATATATATATATATATATATATATGTATATATATATATATATATATATATATATATATATAAATAACTTTTACGAATTATTAATTTATATTGTTTGACCTAACTGGCTAGTAGCTAAAAACAATAATTTCTAGTAATTTGTGATTTTTTCTATATTGATAATGATGGTTTGGTAGGTGAGAACATTTTCATGTATTCCATACTTGTTATTTTGTAACACGAAGTGGTGTTTAATTAAAAGTACTTGTATAAAGTTAGAAGTAACAATAATAGTGTTACATCACTAAATGGCATGCATGTTCTTTTGAGGAATTGTTTAATTCATCCCAATTTATCCATTTGAAGCTTTGAAGTTATATTAACTTGCTTGAATTTGTGGTCCCTAGATTTATTGATTATGACTTTTTCAAAATTAGTTTTTAGTTTTTGAAAAGTGTTTTATAAAAGCCTAGTGTTTGTCACACAAGCTACCAATTTTTCTTTAAATTTTACCATAATTTAAATTTGATTTTACTAATTCAATAGTTAGGTATGTCAAACTCTTATACCAAACGTATAAAATACCAGTATCAAGTTTTTAAAGTTTGAAAATTTTGATAGATAGCTATATATTATTTTCAGTAGTTTTTTTAAAAATAAATAATTACTCCTTAATATTAATAGTAACCTACGGAGTGCCACTATTTTTTAAAATCATCATTTGGGTTTGCACATTTGTCGAATTATAACTTTGAAAATCAATATCTTTAATTAAATATTATAAAATTTATTTAAAAAATTATAAAATAAGATTTTATGACTAATCCAACAACACATTGAGTAACGTTTATTTACTATACATTAGTAGAAAATTGAGTCAAAAGTAATATATAGATACTGCAACATCCCTAATGATACATTTTAAAAAAATGGAAAGAGTATAAATTATGCTTAACCTTAATTTTCTTACATGTTGCCACTTAGGATATGTTTAGTTCATATTATTTCATAAGTGACCAAATCAAAGTACACCAAGTCATATCATATTATACCTTTTATTTATTTAAATCAATTTGCAAAAATTATATATATATAAAAAAAAAAAATTCTTTTCTAAACTTCACACATTAAAATAAAGCTTATGATCGATATCTCATCAACACAATTTTTCCCTTTAAAAAGTTGTGTATAAGTTAAGATTAATGTTCAATCTTATCAAAAATAATAAATTTACTCCATGATTTGAAATAAGGGTAACTACAAGTTACAAGTTCATGTCCTAGATACACATATTGTTTATCACATGACATTTTCGTAAATAAATCAATAACTTTTTGAATAATTAATTAAGGCTTCTTTTTAAAATAAATCAGTTGAATTGAAATAAATCGAAATGAAGTGAACTTTAGGTAGCTTTAATATACTCTACGTCTCTACGTAATTCAAGAATCTCTTTGCCTCACCGAGTCAACGGCACGGGCAGCACCGACTAGGCTGCCACGGCCCGTAGCCATTCCAATGGTAAAAAAAAAAACCACTCGGGAGTCGGTAGTACTGAATTTTGATACATATCGCAAATCTTTGTTTCCAAGGCATTCCAATCTCTTCTGTTAATTTCTCCCGGTTTTTCTCCCCTCAAATACAAATACAAGTTACTTCTTCTGAAAGTGTCGTCTTCATCACAACATTTCCGTCTTCCATTTCCCTCTCTTACAAGTCTTCTCTTTCTCTCTCTTTCTTCTTCACTCCTCTCTCTTTCTCTTTCTCTTTCTCTTTCATTTTCTCTCTCCTCTTCTCATCTATCCTTCTCAAGTCCTCTCCACCGCACCGATCACTCCCTCAATCTCTCTCTCTCTTTCCTCAACCGCTGCAAAAATGGCGGCTCTTCAACCTCCAATCGTTTCCAGAATCACAGGAGGAGAGAGAAATCCTGCATATTTCACTACTTTCATGGCCAAACAACTCTGTGCTAATGTCATGTTCATCAATTCTCATTTTTCGGCGGTTTTGAAGACTAATTGCTGCACTAATTCTACCGCTGCTTCTGTTAGGGTTCGTAATTGTCCTCGTATTCGAACTTCTTCCAAAATTCGGTGTCGTTTTAGCTCGCCGAATGATGGTGATAGCATTACTGGTAATTTTGAAGCCGATGATGCTGATTACGTCAATTCTACTGTCCTCGAAGCTGGTATTGCTATTTTTCACTTACTATTCTTATTCTGAATCTTATATGTTGTTGTTGTTTCCTTGTGAATTTTGATTTCTGCTTGACTTTTTAGTTGAAAGTTTGACGGTTAGCTTCAAATTACGATAAAAAAATTGCGATGATATGAAATGTCCTGCAATATTCTCATTATTGATATGATCTGGTTTATTTGTGAATTGTGATGTCGTTAATTTCTGTAAATTCAACTGATGAAATTGAAATTGTGATTTCCTTTTAATTTTCAGATTTGGCTTGTATCACAGTCGTTTAATGTATTAACACACATATTTTATGTGAAGACAATTGCTTATTCGTTTTCCTTGCTTGGTTGGATTGCTGTTAGTTTCTCCTGTTGAAGTACTCATTCGAATTAGGCTTTGGCGTGTGTTGATGGTTTCGTGCTTGCTCCGGTTATGGTGATTGAAAACCAACATTCACGTGTTCCAATATAAAAAAGACTAGCTAAAATTTTAGAACGAGTAAATAGGATTAGTTATAAACGTATAATGCACATGGGGAGTGCATACTTGTGCATGTGAGCATGTGCTTGTATACTCATTTCGGGAGGAATTCTTGAAGTATTGAATCGTATCAAGTACGGTTTATGTTAACATAAGCAAATTTGTGTTGTAGATGACATGAGGAGTGATGAAAGGAATGTAATGTTCGATATGCTCGAAGCAAACATCAAGTATAAGGGCCTCTAATCCACTAATCAAGTGAATGCTGACCAAAATCTTTATTATAGAGAAGTAGTGCTCTTAAAAACCACATACATCATGGCCAGAAGTCAAGCTGGTCTATTGCTTGAAGCCTCAAATACTTAATCACCAAACAAGTGAACAATAGCAGAGACTCTTTTGTTTACTCAATTACTCCAGCTAAACCAGTAATGATACTATGATAGTTTCTATTGATCCATCTTCCCTTGACTCCAAAAATTCCTTTAGCAACCAAGTTTTAGGCACACGTTTAAATAAACCTCAAAGCTCTAAATGTTTATATACCTTTATGTTGATTAGTTATATGCTGATGGAGAAGGGGATTTTGTGAGAGAGTGAACCCATGGGCGTCATCACGAATTTCTTCGATACAATGATGCATATATTGCCCTAAGTGAGTAATTGGCTTCCTTTTGCCAAGCTGTAAGTAGCAATCATATATCCCTTTCTAAACTGTTCAATGTAGAGTGCCACTACCATTTCTCTAGAAGACTATAATGCTTATTTGTAGCACATCCGTTCTCTTTTGAATTCTAACTTATTTAGTGTTTGGACTGGAATGTCTGTAGTAAGATTGCCTATCATACCCAGCCTCATTTTGGTCTTTGCTAGTTTAAGCTGCCTATAGTCTTTTGAAAAATCCTACCCTTTTGTCTTCTTTCTTATAAGCTTGTACTATGCCCTTAAATAATCCCATTCATAACAGTCGGTTGACCCTGGCTTAGGTTTGTCACGTTTATCATTGATATGCGGTTTTTCTGTTCAGTTGAAGTGAAGAATGGATCAGATGGTTTTATGATCAAAATGAGGGATGGAAGATACTTAAGATGTGTATATAATCATCCCAAAGGGGGGTATCCACCTGACTACATTTCACACCCTGCTATTGTGCTGAAGCTGGACGATGGAAGCAATATTTTACTCCCAATTATTGTTTGTAAGTTTATCAAAACAAAATTGTTTGTCAATAAAAACTAAGGAAGCTCTTTTAAATAAATTATACTATTGCACCTTTGGATAATTTGTGACTTTGAATCTGTTACACTCTTAATTCAGTGGAGATGCCTAGTGCTTTGTTGATGGCTGCGCTTCACAATGTTGAGATGGTACATTGTTCCTTCTTGTTTAATGAGTTTTATTGCCCTTTTCCTTTTGGCCTCTGTCTTTTAATATGCACTTTTAATTTAGCGTATTAACTAATGTACCTTAAATTGCTAGGCTAGGCCAACTATGTACCAAATAGTGAAGGAAATGATAGAAACAATGGGATACATGGTAATTTTTTCTCCAAAATTCTTTTCTTACTTTTGAGGCTTCCAAGTGTTATGTATTTCTTTTGATTGATGCCTTGTGCACAATCATTATTGATGAATTTCATCCAATTGTCTATTGAAGGTGAAATATGTTCGACTTACCAAGAGGGTGCAAGAAGCTTATTTTGCAGAACTTTGTGTCATGAAAGTAAATTTATTGAGCTTGTTTTTATTTTATTTTTTGTTTTATGAATTTAATTTTTTCTTCTATTTTTGAGACTAATTAATTTGTTTTTGTCCCATAGATGGATTCTGAAACAGAGTCTCTTAGTTTTGATCTCCGACCTTCTGATGCCATCAACATTGCTGTAAGGTGCAAGGTATTATTTACAGTATTCTAAACTCTAATAGTCTAGGTTTAGTGAAGAATTGGCTCTGTTTTAAATTCTTGCTGGATTACTATGTATAGTCAATTAGTACAAAGATATTATCTGGAACTTGAACCTGTATGTGGCAGTGGTGGTGCTTATGCTTGACAATTTATCTATGTTTATTTCCAAGGAAGAAGGTACAATTTAAAATTTTCTTCTTTGTAACTGACTTGGCAATTGGTACAAGTCTTAGTAATTGTTGTAGCTTTTACAGCATATTTTCCTGGCACCCTGTTTTCTGGACTCTCTAAGTCATGAGACTTGTATGAATGGATGCTGTGTGATTTAGTTAACTGTTTTTTGTGCCTTTTCCAATGTTTGATATCTAAATTAAAGATCTCTTTTTTCAGGCCCCTATACAAGTTAACAAGTCTTTAGCACTCAAAGATGGTTTGAAAATTGTTGAGCCTACAAATCCAACATTGATACCTCCTCATCCTGATGGTTCTTTGCTATTGGAAATGGATAGGTAAATGGAAAGTTTTTGCATCACTTAAGTCAAAAATCTGTGATTGGCTCCTTAAAGCTGTTATTTATTCTACAGGTTGTATTTTTTTATTTTATTTTATTTTAAAAATACTTTATATATATATTTTTTAATTTTATTTTTTTAAGTGGGAGTGTGGGGACATGCAGACAAAGATAACAATACATTTTAGTGTGAAGGAGTTTGTTTGCTCCAATCTTTATATGAAAAATATCGAGTGTCAACTAAGATTTGTTCCCAAGTTGAAATTTTGGGTTATAAGGGGGGGGGGGGGTTCCATGTTTCTTGTAGATGTCCCTAATCTGGCTAGATTGAAAAACAAAGATTTCAAAGGAACAATATTTGCTTCCTTGTTTCTTCATAAGATTAAGGGACTTTTGTAGACTTAATGTACATGTTACTGGTTTGGGCCCTTTTGTTTTTGCTTTTTTTTTTCAGAATCTTATTTTCGTTTACAAGTAAATTGATGGTGTTAGATTTTTGAGTTTGCCATAATTATCTATTTTTTGATAGCAACAATAATATGATGCAGACCAGATGGGCAGCCCTGTCCCGAAAGTGAAGAATTTGTCCTTCTACGCAATATGTTGATTGCTGCTATTGAGGAGCGTTATCATGATGCAGGTAAGCTGAATGTTTTTTCTGATAATTGTGATTTTATTGCCCTTCCCTGTCTCTTTGGAGTTTTTCCGAAAATAGAACTATGTCCTATCCTTCAGGGGTATGGCTTGTTATCATGACAACATGCTCTTTTGTTGTTAAAAATTTGCAACAGACACTAAGAGTTTGATTAATTACAGGCATTAGATTATACGGTAACTTCAGTATATGTTTTTAGTGAAACACTTTGGGGAAGAAAGTTGTAGCAGAACCTGTGAAAAACTGAAAACCATTTTTTTTTCCCATGCCACTACCATATAAGTCCATCACTGGAAACATGCTGCAAGCCATTTGGCTTATTCCTCATTGTGAGGTTGTATAAAGGCCTTACTTCGGATTATTTATAGTGTTAGCTGTTTGTCTGAGATGTTTATAGTCACCTAAAAGGCTATTAGTAAGTTAGTATTAGCTCTGTTTTAAAGATCTTTGGCATAAATGTAAAATTGTCTTATTTGGCTATTAGCTGTTTTGGCTTGAACCCCAGCTTTTCTCCCAAATGATTAAACTACCATTTGATTGACCACATCAAAAAACTAAAAGCCAATAATTAAATTATTTGAAGCCATTTACAAAGTAAGCCCAGTATGTTTTTGAAGGGTTGAAGCAGCTAATAGGTTATACGAGTGACATGGCTGGATCTAAACTCTAAGTCCTAATTATTCCTGGATCTGTATTCTCCTGACTCTGGCAATAGATCTTTTGGCATTTCCATATATATTTATTTCATCTTTTATCTCAAAAAGGAGGTTAAAAGATTACTTGCTTCAGTTCTTGAAGCTTAGCATGGAGCTAACACAATATTGTGTCTAATTTGTACCTTTTTTAAGCTTTTAGTTATGGTCGACAGTTGTACTTGATGTCTTTGAAAAGAAATTTACGTAGCAGTGGAATCAACAAACTTAACATGTTCCTTAATAATTACGCAGTACTTCCTACCTACCTTCCCGTATTTAATGGGAAGCTTGGTTGGTTACCATAGTTCTTTATATGCTCCTGCCTAGCTTTTCTTTTCTATGATCGCAACTTATTTGCCCTTCCATTCATGGTTCAATTTACTGTCTGTGCAGCTCAGTGGAAGGATTTACTCAAGCAGTTCAGGTCCAAACAAAAAAAGTGGACATGACATGTTTCGTATTGCAATGTCAGTCTTCCCTCACTTCTCCTCTCCTCCTTTTCCATTTGTTTAATACAAAGTAGGGAGAACATACGTTGGCTATCTGTGGCTCCCAACTTCTCATTTCCATCTTCACAAATTTTGATCTGGGACTTATATATGCAATTATTTGCAGGTATCTTTGTATCTGGAACCAACTGTTGGCCTGACATGCCTTATTCATATGCAAGTTCTATGGGTAGTCTGTTCAGTTAATCTGTCATTTAATTATGTGAATATGTACATTACTAAATACAAGCACGCAGAAATAAGTAGACACATGTATAGACATCCAGATAATTATGTAAGGCAGCGTGTTGATGATAGTTTTGTTGACATTGGTGAGAATACCTGTATATTCCCCTTTTGGTTAAAAAGGTTCAAGTTCACTTGAATTTACATGTAGATTGTACAGCTATGAAGCATTTTTTTACAGCCTTTGATCTTCAAATGATGTAGTTGTTTCTTTGGAACAGTTTCTTTGTACAAAGCAACTCAATTTTTCATCTTACGAAACTGATGTAACCACTTCCTTTTTGATAAATAGAGGTTTGATGACAAAAATTAAAAAAACAGGTTTGGTGTATATTTTGTGTTGGGTTCAACATTAATTTTCTTATTTTGAAAAAAAGAGGGTTTTGTATGTCATATACATAATTGAAAGTAGCAGCAGCAGCTGCTAGCTATCAACAATCACTACATAAGTTTAACCTAACCTCTTTCCCCTTGTACAATGTTTGAAATTTGCTCTGATTTTTTATAGTTCTTAAGAAGATGACTGGGAATTACCATATAGGTAATACATATTGTAGTGTATGCCAGAAAAAACTGCTACATTTCCTAATATTAATGTCATAAAGGATAGACTAGGTTTTTCATACCATCACTTTTAAGTTCTTCCAGAAAACTGCCCCTTTTTTAATAACCAGATGTCCAGATTCACAATCTATTTTCGCAAAATATATAAATGGCTTAACAAAAATAAAACATTACTTAGAATGTAGGAAAAGAAGGATATGCTTTGTTAAAATCTCTCACTATATAGCAAAATTACCAGGAGAATTAAACAGAAAATTTCAAGGCTCCTATAACATGGGACAAACTTTTTACAACATATTTCCTGAGGGTTACACCAAGATTGATGCTTTTCAGAGATGGGAGACAAGAAAAAATGATCAAGATTGTTTCGCCTATACTATTAACATTCCCTAAGAAATTCGTGTGTTTGGATCAAAAACACCAACCTTCTAGCATCATTCTTTCCTCTTTTTTTTCTGTCTTTTTTCACCAGGTAAAGATCTTCTTCTTCTTCTTTTTCTTATCCATGAATGCTAAGAGCTCCTCTTGCTTTGACAAAGCATCTTCCAAGGCCTAAGATGTATGTGGAAAAGAAAAAACGTGAGTTAAGTATTGATGAGGTAAGATAGGTGCTTCTAATTCGTGGTTATGCTTTAAAAGAACCAATACCTTTTTAGTTGCTGAAAGCTCCTGCTCGAGGGCATCAACCCGATTGGAAGCAACCTGAAGCATTTCCTCTTTCTCAGTGATAGCATCGGGTTTTACAGCCATTGCCATAAGTTTCTCTTCCATGGCTGCCATGCGTTTCATGACAGTCATGAATTCAGCATTGGAGATCCCTGGGGCAGCTAACTCATGGCCCTGAGCTTTAGCCATTGAGTCAAAACAGTACATGGGGGCAGCATAGAGATTGGCATCAGTCATTTTCTTGGGCATGGAACGAGACAATCTCACCATTGTGACTATACCCATAATAAAGGCCATCAAACCAGCTACTATCTGATTACTAATTCCTTCTGGTGGTTTGAAACTACTGTTTATGCTGTAGCAATCAGCTGCTGTCGGATGAGAAAAACATTTAGACACTTTCTTTCATAACAATAAACAATAAAACACGAGCAACCTCAGATATGAAATTCTTTGTTACGATTCCAAAGACATGCTATTAACAACCCTTCTATATTCTAATTAAAATGCACAAACATTATTCTAGGTGCAACTTGAGTTAAAATGACTGAAAGGATTCATCTCTGTTAATGTCATCGTGAATACTCATATTACTGCATTCAGAATCAAGAGTGCATCTTCTACTGGTCGGGTTACAACTAAATAGCTTTGCTAAACTTCATTATACTTCTATTAACCATGGAATACAGGGCAATCAATTCAACCAGTTGCCTTTATAAGTGAGGAATTTATGTAACAGCTTGTTTGCAGTTACAGGGAAATTACTGGGGAAGACTTAAACTTTTTTGCATATAAGGCTAATATAATCATTAAAACAGAATGCATTTTCTACTGGTTTAAAAGTAAAAATAAAATAAAAAATGCCTTCCCTCAGGTTCCTACTATAATACTTGCTATCTCTAGTTTACCTGTTATCTCTTCTCTTAGAGAAACATTCATCAACTTACTGTTTTGCACTTTAGTTTTAGACTATTTACATGTCTCTAAGAAATCTTTAGTTAAGTGCTCAGAAAGAATATACATAAATCTGGGCCTAGGAAATGGATCATCATGTACCTTTAACGAGGGCATAGTTGTTTCTGTTCACAATATTGTGCCAAGAATCATCTACAGGCTTAACAACTACAGGAACTAAGCTGTTAGGGCTCACTACCTTGTTATTTTCCTGCCAGGTCCAAAACGAACAAGATGGATAAGTAATGTGCAAATTATTCTAACACCAGTACTAAAACTTTTTTGCGGTGACTTTGTGCTTCTCAAAAGAGGGCTAGATACATTATCTATGATGCAAAGAGTACGTTTTTTCAAGAACTTATGTTGTTTGGTTTTCTGAAGGAGCAGGTTATACATACTTCTTCACTAATGGAAGGAAGTTGATGCTCAACATTGGTTTTCGGTGCCTCCTCATTCTGCACCTGTAACACAACAGCCACATATCAGTAGGCCATTCCTCACTGCCAGTGGTGGAAAAAATAGGGAATTCCACAATAGAACTCTAACAATAACACTGGGTACACAATTCAGAAGTGAATAGATAACTAAAACAGACCTTCTTGGATGCCTCATCCTCAGGTATTGTCTTCTCCTCACAATGGTGGTGATTTCCATGTTGCTTACACTTTGCTCCACCATTTTGTACTTTCTGCAGATCAAAAGGATTATACTTAGTGCTGTTTCTTTAAGTTGTAGTAGGACAAGCATCAGCACCAATAAACATGATAGGAGAAAGAAAAAGACCATCAATATTTCTGGGTCCTTCCAAGGTCCCCTGTCCGAACGCAAACAACCCCCTTTGTCCACGCAAGAACAGGTGCCTCCCAAAAATTCGGGCAGCTCACTGATGGAAAGCCGAGTGAAAGCAACATACAAATCAATCCAAGAACCGTGTTAGAAAAGACAGAAGATTATGAGAAGGAAAATCTAGAAAACTAAAATTAAAGACTTGCCTAGCATCTATCACTTCAAGTAACTTGCTCTGGTATTTGTTACCAAGAACTGTAATCTTTGCTGTGGTCTTCGGGTCAAGAAAACTCTTGACAGTATTCCACAAAAGTCTAAATCCAGAACCAGCATTTATGATGAACATACGGTTTAGGGTCTGCAAAAGAATGAAAAGTTTTTACAACCATCATAATTCCAACAACTGAGAAAATGGCCCATGATAAATGCCAGAGGAAACTTGCAAGGAAGTTTCCTGAGAGGCATGATAGTTAATGGCTTTATTCTGCACCTCAGGATAATTGTCACCGTCAATTTTCTGAAGGCGGCCGATCAGGTCCCTGGCAGATTTGTTGAATTGTTTAAATCCCTATGAAAATATTACAGAGCTGATATAATTATTTATTTTCTTCATGATTGAACAAAGGCAACATAATCCATAAGTTAAAATCTTGAGCAAAACAAAAATAGAAATTTATTTCCATTGCAAGAAATCAACTACATACCACTCCAGAAACATCCAATATGGTTGTACTTTGATCTATATGCTTCTTGGCAGCGATTGAACAAGATGGAAACTTAACTGCAAAGGTTCTCTCAAACTCCATTACATGATAGTTGATATACCTGTCTATGGTTGTGGCTTGCATCAACTTGATAGCATCTATTTTGCCGATAAGCTCTATGTAAACAGGTCTTCCATCTTTATCTACTCCATGATGTCCTTGAGGATAGTACTCCAAAACTTCATTGATTTCATGGAAATCAAATTCCTTGAACACAAGAACAAGAAGTCAAATTTAGTATGTGTTCACAATGGCATCAGTAGACTAAATATGACACCACTTAAATTTATAGACATGCACCTTCATAATAGTGTCAGCACCAAATTCCTTCCTCCACTGCAGCATATCAGTCCACATTTGTTTTGTCTTCTCCATATCAAATTTTCTGGCCCTTAGAAATCTGTTGACAATTTAACATTGCGCTCATAAGGTCTTCCACTGAACTCAAAAGTTGTTATTATATCCAAATTCAAATCAACATACCCCGCTATGCAGGAAGAGACGACATTCTGTTCTTAAACACAATATTAACTCCAAAAAATGATGTGGTAAAGTTCATATTTTATATTGCTGAATGAAGGAATACCGGTCAAGTCACAGCTAATTAAGGATGCAGTGCTTGCTTTAAGTAATGAAGAAGCAACAAGTTTCATGGTGACAGTTGTTTCCATCTCAGTTGTATAGAAGGTGAATATACAAACTTCAACAAGCAATATTTTGAATGATAAATTAAATTCTCAAAAAAAATATATATATAAATATATTGAAAAAAAAAATATACCTGAGCATGACATGATAGTCATCAAATTTAGAAGGCAACAAATCTTCTGGTATAAGAGTTTGGCGAAAATTTTCAACAGCCTGGGCCTCCTCAAAATCATGAATATCTATAAAGTCGACAGACATGACCTTACTGCTCCTCCTCCTCCTCGAAAATGAGCTCTTAAACTTGCTAGAAGCATTCATCGCCTTCTTCTTGAAAGATCCCACGGCATTCTTCTTATCATCATCTAAGTTGTCCATCTCAACCACTTCATATCATAAACATACATCCATGTATTAGCTAAACAATCATTCCAACTTTAAATTTGGGTTGCATCACTTAATTTTAACTCCACCAATTCAATAAACCATCTTCTTCTTCATCTTCAAGTCAACAATGGATATTAATTTATTACCAAAGCATCATAGAGCTAATGAGCTTGCAATTACATCATACTAAAAAGTTACTCTTATATAATCAATCCCACAAAAATTAGTCCTTCCGTTTCTTAATATTTGTCGTGTTAGACTTTTTTTTTTTAAACACTTTTCAATGCACATCTTCAACCAACGTATATTTGATTACCAGCAATTAAAAATTATGAACTGTTAATATTCTGAAACATTGAAAGTTTCAACCAGCTACAAAATTACTGTACAAAACAATATTTAACATCAACCTTAATTTTCATATCATTAACACAATCATATAGTAAAAAATTTACTAATTTAATCAACTATTATCCAAACAAGGCAATTGAAGTTGAAGATAAACATGGAATTAAGCATATGCTAATCAAGATTAAAGAACAAACCCTAATTGTGATAATTTTTTACCAAATTAAAAAAAAAAAAAAGAAAAAAAGAAATTACCTCGGTCAACAAATGAAATATCAGCCATGGTGCTAAGAAGACGAATGATCCAGGAGGAAGAGTAGAAGAGGAGGATTATCCAGCGGTGCTACAAAATTATAGATAGATAATTTCCTGTAATATAGACAAATTTATATAATTAGTTCACATTATTAATTATTATGCTCTTCATTATTAAAGCATATCATATAACTCCTAACATATAAATTAAATAATTAATTAATTACGCCTGTAATTAAAATAAATAACCCAGAACAAGAAGAAAAAAAAAATCCGAAAATAAAAATTAAAGAGGGGATGAATTATTACTAGCTAAATGTACAAAAATTGAACGGCTTCTGAGAATCTAACTCATTTATTTTTGTTAAAAAAATTATAGGAGGAATAATTTGAAGAACATGGAGATTTGGGCGTTCAATAATAGAGAAAGAGGAGAGAGAAAGTGATTAAATTACCTCACCTCTTTCAAAAAAAAAAATGAATTTTGCAAAAAATTGGGGGAAAAAGAAAAAAGGAGAATAAATATGTCCGAAAATGGTGAAGAAAAGAGTTTGACGAAATCGTTGGTAGTCCTCTCCATTGTTACAGGTATTAACAGAGTTTGAGAGAGATAATTGTGCATTTTTTTTTGGAGAACAACAACCAATTTAATATTATTTTAATTATAATTATAAACTTATATTAATAAAATAATAATGTTACCGCGCAAAAGCCAAACTTTAGTGGCAAACTAACGGTTCTTTTAATATGGCAGAGTGAATGAGAGATTAAGGGCGTGTCCGGCACTACTTTTTTAGTAGCTTTTAGTGGTTTGACCAAACTAAATTACTACTCAACAAAAAATGTGAGTGTTTGGCAAAGTAATGGTTCAAGTAGCTTTTAGTGGTGGAGGTAGCTTTTATTAAAAGGTAGGATTATTAGCTTTTGAAGTAGCTTTTGAAAATTTAATGTATAGTTTTAAAAATAAAATATTGATTCTTAAATGTAACAGCTAGTCAACCATTACTTTACCGAACAATCATACCTAAATTATCTTTTTTCACAGCTAACAGCTATCTCCACAGCTCACAGCTATCTCCACAACTACAACTACCTTCACAGCTACATTTTGCCGAACATGCCCAATGGTTAAGGCAAAGGTTTCCTTCATATAGATTAGGTCCCGTACCATGTAACATATTTTATCTTCTTATTTGCATATATAATGTGGCATAGATTAATTTCTTGATTAGCTAGCCAATCCGCATCTTGATTTGCCTCTCGATAGTTGTGCTTTACTTCCATCCAGCTTCTCAATTAAACTTCTACAATGACTGATGCCATGCACACATTCCCCTTGACAAGCAATCAAGTTATTAAGAGCGTGGTGGGGGAATGGGAAGGGTAGGTTTCGTGGTGGGATTAAGAGCGGAATGGGTTTCACAATAAAGGAGCTGCCAGAGGTTGTAGAGAGGCTGCCGGAGGTGGTGCAATGGTGGTGAGAGAGTTTACTTAATCAAGCAAGGTTTGGTTTATCAAGCAAGGTATTATTATCTCATGTATACATTAAGGAGGTAGTATTTGGTCAACTAGTTTTTTTAAATACTTGCTCCATTTCTCCTAGGCACGTATGCCAATGTTAATCTATTCATTGAGATGATTCTAACAAATACTCATAAGAGTATATTTTTTTTTTATGTATAAATCACAAATATTAGACAAAGTTGAACAAATAAATAATGCAAAAAGTAGAAATTGAGCAAAATATTTTAAAACAGAGGGAGTATAATATAGATACAAAGATATATGAAGTACTTATCAATTTGTGGGCCTCTTTTTATTTGTTACTATAATTGATTATAGAGGCCCAAATGGGCTCGTTTAATAGCTAGCCCAAAGCATTTGTATGTGCTGCTTCTACAAATGATGGTCCGAAAAATCTGGTTGTGTATCCAGCTGACATTGGTTTTAGTAGTTCCTAAAGTAGGGGATACATAAAACTTATTTTAACTCAATTGCAATTTTTAGTGGGTTTAAGTGTTCAACCAGTTTGTTTGTTAGCCTTCCTACACAAAAAAAAAAAAAAACCAATTCAAGTCATATGCCTAGTATTTCAATTTCTTTGAAATATAAGAATCCAAAATCAACATTAAAGTAATTTAGCAATTCACTGCCTAATTAAACATGAAGAAAATGATTTTTTTTTTTTTTTTTTATTAATTGAAGTTGAATGCAAATCCTTCCTAGTTCCTACTAGGTGTCCATCAGATTATATATGACTTCAAGTTCCTTACATTCTCCTTTGCTCTCTTTTCTTTCAAAATGCTTCTTCTTGAGCAGCTGCACAACTCCTCTAAGAGCAGTCTCAGCATCATCAGCTCTCAGTAATTCCTCTGAGATTTCAGCTGCAGTAACATTCACAGTTTGGAACAATGTCTCAATCTCTCCAAAGAGAGGGTGCTCATCATTAAGCGCGATTTCCAGGTAATTGGATGCAAGTATTATAAAACCAGGCATAGTCAAGTAGGACATATGTATGTGTACATCCATCCGCCCTGGTCGTAGCAAGGCAGGGTCTAGCTTCGCCTTGTGGTTGGTGGTGAAAATTATAATCCTCTCGTCTCCACAACTTGACCATAATCCATCAACAAAATTCAGCAGCCCTGATAGTGATATCTACATTAAATTACAGCAAAATTATCAGACAATAAACATATATAACAAAGTACATATAACTTATGTTTTTGTGCATTAGTTTTTTTTAGTGCCTACCCTTATATTCATTAAATGTACATATAACATACTCTGTAAGTCCATATATATTTCATGCTGTATTCATTACATGTACCAATGTGAATTACATTTTTCTCTGTTCTCTTCAATTGGATTTTGCTGATAAAAAAATTAATTTTTTTTTTTTTACAAAAAAAATTGGTACTTCTGATCCATGCAGAGTTAATATGTTTTTGTATAAATTGTATTGTCATATGCAATTTGATATAAGATTAAAAATTACTTTTTCAATTTATTGATACAAAACTTATTTGTATGCAGAACAATGACTCCTTTTATCTCTAAAATGTTCATATGATATGATTAAGTAAATTGGTAATAAGCTAAGGAAATTGTAATACAGAACATACCTTAGATGTCTGATGCTCATTAACACGTACATAGTCCTCATTATTGTCGGATGAGCCGTCCAAATTCTCTCTGCAGCTTGGCAACCCAAGAGTGCAATCAATATCCTCAACAACAAGCATAGACTTATTGCTTGTTCTTAGCATAAGGTTCCTCAAAATCGCGTCATTCTCCACTTGACCAAGCTGTAAATCATAGATATCAAACTTGAGGAAGTTAGCCATAGCCGCGATCAAGCTTGATTTTCCTGTGCCGGGAGGACCATAAAGCAAGTACCCTCTTTTCCAAGCCTTCCCTACTTTTTTGTAGAAATCCTTCCTCTTTACAAAATGATCCAAATCATCGGTTATGTACTTCTTAACCTCGGGATCCATAGCCAAAGAATCGAATGTGAAGGGGTGCTTGAACTCAACTGAGTGCCAATCGGAGTAGATTGTAAGTGTATGTAAATTCAACTCTTTTGCATTCTCCTGCATCTCATCATTTAATTTAAGTATGTAATGCAAGTAGGAATTCAAGACCTCTTTATACTTATCTTCAATGACTAATTCGAAATGTGGTTTTTCTTCCTGTTGGTTGGTGTTCTCTTTTGAGGAGATTATGTAGTGCCACACAAGCTCCTTACCTTCAAAGGTATCTGTGAATTGCTCTCCTTGTGCTAACTTGAATTTAAGACTTACATCAGCATTTGGACGACTTACCTTGAGGCGGCTAGCGAATTTGCTGATAAGCTTGTTGCACAAATACCTCTCACAGGCCTCAAAGACTTGGTTATTATCGCGGTATGGGGTGTCATCTGATTGCTCGATTACTAAGGTGAATGAGGAAGGAGATGCCCTTGAGTTGTTGAACCATTGCTCGAGTTTTTCAGCAATGTAGTCTCTAACTCGTTCGGGTATGAATTGAATGTATGCTTGATGGAATAGAGTGATGAAAGTTGATAAGGTTGCATAGGCTGAGAATATTGATGCTACTGAAGGTATGCCTGTCAGAGAGTTCATCATAGCTTCAATTTGTTTGTTAGAGACTGATTAATTTGATAATATTTTCAGAGGTATTTTAATTCATGTAATTCTTTGATTTTATAATCTTTTTCTTTGGACATGTAAATCAGAAAACTTGGAAATAAATCACTTGTGATATTGCAGATATCATATTTACTAGAGGATTTGCAAAAGAATCAGATAATGTGATTTCTTTCCTTATCTGAAAGATATTTAATGGCATTGCTTTTTTAAGTCAGACACACTTCCTCTGTTTCATAAAAATTGCAATACTTTGTCCAAAAAACACTCACATTTTTGGCCAAAGTTTTGCAATTTTTTTTTTTTTGAAATTTTCTCATTTATCACAGTATTCATAGGAATGACAAGTTTAATTGTTTACTTGTACAATTCACACACAAATTGAAGTAAAGCAAGTATATTAGGATGTCAATGCTAAAAATACCAGTCTGATATGATTTTGTTACTAATCAAAGTGTGACAGCAGAACGACATGGTTTCGAGGATGATTCAGCATCACAATTGATGATGTTTGATTGTGCTGCCAACTATGAAACAGAACAATACCAAATCAAAAGTAAAAAGAGAACAAAAAAGTATGCTCTTATTTCGTGGAAGAACAAACAAACATTAAAAGTTCACAAGAAGCTGGCACAAATGAGCAAGGGAAAAGTTGTTCTAATTTCTAACGTATTTCTTGTCAGATAAGAGTAATACATATTATTCTAAGCCTAATCACTAGAATAATCTGAAAATTCATGTACACCATTGTTATAACTTCCTAGACCATTTCCAACCTTTCCATTCATTAACTTTGGAAAGTTCACTTCTTTCGGACTTTGCTCCATTTTTTCTTCTTTCAGCATTTTGATAAGACTAGAAAGGGCGATATCAGGATCATCACTCCTTATGAGCTCCTCTGCAACTTGAGCAGGGCTCACTTTTGTAGCTTCAATGAGTTCTTCAATCTCCTTAAAAAGATAATGCTCCCCTGATATATTGATGTAATTAAGCGCGAGGATCCTGAAAGCAGGCATGGTCAAGTAGGACATGTTAATGTGCATATCCATCCGTCCTGGCCTTAATAATGCAGGGTCAAGCTTCTCCTTATGGTTCGTCGTGAAGACAAATATTCGTTCATCCCCACAACTAGACCATAGACCATCAATGAAATTCAGCAAACCTGACAATGATATCTGCATTCACAAACCAGTGGTCCAATACAAATATTAATCTTAAGCAGTTGATTTATACATTTGAACACTTACAAAGTTACACATAATCTTATTATAAAAAATAAAAACAAATTAAAATTGACAGCAAAAAAAATGGCAATTTACATATTCACTGACCTGTGATTGCTGTGAGTGTGAGTCCATATCAACATCATATCCGTACTTGTCCTTGCCTTCATTAACAAGATGGACTTGGCGATCTGCCAGACCCAAGCTGCAGTCAATATCCTCAATAACAAGTATGGACTTATTCGACGTAGAAAGCAACAATCTTCTCAACACTGAATCATTAAGCACAGACGAAAGCTGCAGATCATAGACGTCGAATTTGAGGTGATTGGCCATAGCAGCTATCAAACTAGACTTTCCTGTTCCAGGAGGACCATACAGCAAGTACCCTCTCTTCCAAGCCCTCCCAACTTTTTTGTAAAACTCCCTTCTTCCTAAGAACCTTTCCAAATCATCAACTACCGCCTTTTTCACTTCCGGTTCCATAGCAAGAGCATCAAATGTAAAGGGGTGTTTGAACTTTACTGATCTCCAACTACCAGATTTTCCCCCCCCACAATCAAGTGTGTATAATTTCAAATCCTTTTTTTTCTCCACCATATCATCATAAAATTTAAGTATATAAGGTAAATAGGAATCGAAAACTTTATCCTTATTATCAGGATCAAAGCAAAGCTCAAAGTACAAGTTGTTTCCTAGACGTGATTTACTCGACCTACTATCCTCAACATCAGAATGACTACTGTAATTATTAGCATTGTTACATATAAAACTCCAATCTAGCTGAATTCCCTCGAAAACCTCAGAAAACTTCTCACCTTGTGCTAACTTAAACGATACATGATCCTTCTTACTAGGCCTACTAACCTTGAGACGTGTCGAAGTAGACCTCAGCTTGCTAGCTAAATAAGCCTCACAAGCACTATACACTTGATTGAACGAGTCATAGTCGCCGTCTTCAAATTGCTCGATGACTAGAGTGAATAGTGTAGTGGCGGAGCTAGCTTTAGTGAACCATTCCTCGAGTTTAAGACTAATGTAGTTGCGTACCTGTTTCGGGACAATCTGATGGTAGAATTGCTGAATTAATGTGACTAAGGCTGTCAATGAGGCGTAGGCAGAGAATAAGGATGATGCAGAAAACATTGGCATTGTACCAACTGAAATTCCTCCTGTTAAAGTCTTGATGACAGTAGTCAGGTTTTGATTGGATTGGTTAAGAAAAAAAGCAAATCTTTTTTCAGGGGAAAAATAGCGGCTTGATCTAATTTGAGGATATACCTAAACAACCACCCAATATAAATCCCGTCAAGAAATGGATCTTGTTCAAGGATACTTGTCGGGTTGATTTAAATCACGTCGAGGTAGGGTCTATGGTTCAATGTACACGTACATAGTCATACACGGATACACCCCCACCTTAGACGATGTAATCAAAATAAAGATCTTTCTTTAATTTAAAAGATTGTAGCAAAGTGAAATAATGACTCAAAAACAGAACTATAGTGTACATTTAGAGAAAATAATTGTAATAGTGAACAGATAAAATATAATTATTGGAGTACTAATTAACAGTAATCAAACCCTCCCAAAAGAAAAATAATAACATTCAAATTTGAAAAGCGTAGAAAACTTGCCTCTTTAGAAGAATTGGGTATTGCCTTGAGTTGAGCAGCGTAAGTTGATGCATTGCTAATTTGAAAATGAGAGATATTTAAAGGCCAGAAGTTGGCATGGCACCTTTATTTTATTTTGGGGTCTTTTTTGGACGTTTGCTTTTGAACTTAAACCCAACAAATAGAAAGTTGGCACGTACTTCATGTTTTAGATTTGATTAATTAGGTAGTGGAAATGGACTTTCTTGTCAGACACAAAGATTCTAAAATGAACAGGACAAATGCTTAAAATTAGATCATTTATGAATAAATAAAAATATACTATAATTATATACGAGTACTATATCAATTCATATTACAAACTCTTAAGTAAGATTTGTTTGTTAGTATTAAATAAAAAGAGAAATATATAAATGTGTGTGATAATAAAGAGATAGATAAAAATAATAATTTTTTTAATAAAAAACATAAAATTATTGTATATAATATGTTGTATATTTCTTTAGTAAATATTGCACTTAATATGAAACAGATATAACAATGTGTAAGTGTTAAGTGTTAAGAACAATGTGGCCATTGTCAAAACATTAATAAAATAAAAGGATGAGAAAGTCTATCAACGTGGCAGGCAACGGCCACCTCATGAGTTTTAATTGATAAGCTTTTTTGTTTGGGTTTGCTTTTTACTTTCAACTTTTTTATGGTTGATGATGGAAAAGGAACAAGAGTTTCCTCTATGGGAAAGGCTACAAAAATTTTACTCGTACAATTTTGTCCAAATGGCAATTTTTTTTTTTTTTTAGAGAATTTGTTGATTTCCACTCGAGGAACTTTTGCATAATTAAAACATGATAAAAAAAAAAAATTACTAGATTTATTAAACATATCTTATGACAAACGTTCATGTGATACTTCATCTTTGTTTGGATATATAGAATGTAGAAAAAATATTTATATATAATAATTTTGATGATATCGAATAAAGAGTAGACAAACTTATAAATATGATTTTTAGTCTTCAACAAATGCTATTACTATAGATTCAATCTTGAAAATCTCAAATCAAGAGCAACTTCAAAAAGTCTTTATTAAATCATATGTGGTGGAATTTTACCAGATTTAGTGCTTATTTGGTTCACATGACCACATGAGTACTAACTTAACTTCTTATGAAGTTAAATTACTTCTCTTGTTTTTTTTTGTTGTTTATATAGCAACAACGACGGGTGATGAGAATGTATTATAGGATCTTCTAGAATAGGGAGGGGAACCCTAAACATCTAAGCTATCCATCACTCTCAAATTACTTCTCTGATAAGCATCCTATAATATAACTTCATAATTATGGTTGATACTTAAAGCATTTGTAAGGCCCTGTTTCACTAAACCTTTTTTTTAGGGATCACTAAACCTTATTTTTACTGAACTAAAATTGATTTTGTTGAACTTAAATTATTTTAAAAATAAGTTTAATTCAGATTGAATATGTAAAATAAGGTAAACAAAACATATTATAGGTCACTTTTCACATTTCAAATATTCTTTGTAATGATTAAACATAAATATAAAGTATTAGTTAAATCAATCAAATAACTTGTCATGTGTCCATTTCATAGGAACTCACGATCCACTTTGAGTTTGCTTGCAATTTAACAAATTCATAAATATGCACATCTTGAGTTTAACAAATGTTGTGGGCCCGGGCCAAGAATGAGCATAAAAAAACACCTAAAAAAAGCATATAAAAAAAAACAGTAGCAAGTGTGAATTTGTAACATGCATAAAAGTTGGATGTAAAACAGTAAAAGAAGGGGAAAGGAAAGGCCATCGAAGTTTAAGTGTCATACGGAAGCACTAGCCACTATGTAGTGTCTCCAATCTAGGGCCGCCGCTATTGACTACTGTATGTCATATTTGTACTCACGTTTCATGTTTTCATTCTATGTTAATTGAACTTGGCAACCAATATTTAGGAATTAGACAATAAATTTAACAGGATTCAAACAACTTGTTATTTGTTTAACCATGTTTTCCGTACATGTTTTAATGGGCTTTTCTGGAAATAAGGCCCACTAATTGAATTGGACTACTCATGTGTCCTATTGCCATGATAACAACAGGTGTAGCACCCTAGCTTGTTATGTAATTTACTAATTTGCCTCAATGTTAAGTTTGGTTGGTCCAATATGTACTAAAACAGTTGAGATACTTTCTCCGTTCCACTAAAATATATTCGAGGATAATATTTCATATTCATGCTATTGACAAATACAAGTAATTAATAAAGAATTGAAAATGTCATATGTAGTCGCATTATTTAAGTGTAATTTACTTATAGCATATACCAAAATAGTTTAACATAATAAGAAATGGTAACGTTGAACAATTTATTTGGTATTATATATATCATCATAAGTAATAATACAGTGTCAATGGAGTTCTATAGTACAACAATCATGTTAGTTCCTCAAAACAGCATAGCAAATCCCAAAATACTAAGCTTAGCATGCTTATCAGGTGATATTTAGTTCGAATTTTCTAAATGGACAAATTTAATCTATAACACCATCATCTAGTCCTTCAGGCAGGACTACTATCTCATCTTTGTTATCTATCATCTCCTTCTTCGTCTTAAGGAGCTTAAGAACTCCCTCAAGAGCCTCATCAACGTCTTCAGATCTCATCAACTCTTCCGCCACTTGAGCAGGAGTCACTTCGACGATCTCAAACAACCCTTTTATCTCATCAAAGAGCGGGTGTTGCCCTTCGAATTCAAGGTAGTTGGAGACTAGTATCTTAAAACTTTGAAACGTTAAATAAGACATGTGAATGTGCATGTCCATTCGCCCTGGTCTTAGTAAGGCAGGATCAAGCTTTTCCATGTGGTTTGTTGTAAAGACTATGATTCTTTCATCCCCGCAACTTGACCATAAGCCATCTATGAAATTTAGTAACCCCGATAGTGTCAACTGCACACACAAAACAATAAATACTCGTATTAGATAAGGATATGTAACTTGTATCACCAGTCAAATTGATACACTTAAAAAAGTCGAGAATATAAATAGACAATATTTAGAAAAAATCACGGTAGCTCGACAATTGGCCACTTAGGAGTTAGGACAAGCATACACAATTTGTTCATTAAAGTGAATAAAGTGGGCTGGGTCATGCTACAACGTACGCTCGACTGCTCGGGCATTCAAATGACCTTGAAATAAAGACATAGTACACCTTGCTCACACCCAAACTATAATGTTGCTCAATTATTTGTCCATAAACTAACAAAACAATATTTTTGCTATCCTACTCATCACCTTTTTTGTTTGCCATCAACCAAGTGTTTTTATTTCTAATATTAATTGGAAAATAAAAGTCGGTTTGACACATGTAAACCTTTTTAATATCATTATCCAATAACATTAACGGCCGACTAGCTACAAAATGATGGATAGATCGTCAGCATCAAGCAAATTAAACTTTAGTGCAAATCTTTTTGACTACCACCAAAATAATAGAAAGTTTAAATAAAATTAATTTAATTTTCTCCCTAGTTCACATAATTTCTGATTAAAAAATAAGTTTGTTACATACTTTGTACCAAAAATTACTTGGAAATTGAATTCTTAACATAAATATTGCTACGTTAAATGTATACAACAAACAATAACAGAATCACGTTCATTATATTTTCAACGGGTCTAAAAATAAATCTAACACGTAATAAAAATGAAAGGACTAAAGAACTAACCTGAACTTCTGGAGGCTTATTAGGGAATTGTCCATTCTCATTCAAATTCTTACGTCGATTTTGAATATCGATAGTACAGTCGATATCTTCAATTACCAATACAGAACGATTAGCCGTAGCAAGTAACAATCTCCTTAAATCAGAGTCCTTAATTAAATTTCCAAGTTGCAAATCATAAATATCGAACCTTAAGTAATTAGCCATCGCAGCAATTAAACTAGACTTCCCTGTTCCGGGAGGTCCATGAAGTAAGTACCCTCTTTTCCAAGCCCTTCCAACTCTCCTATAAAACTCCCTTCGCTTCACAAATCGATCTAAGTCCTCCATTATCGCGGTTTTCGCCTCCGTATCCATGGCCAACGTCTCGAATGTTGAGGGATGCTCTAGGTTTATAGTATCCCAATAGACGTTACCACAACTGAACCTACTCCCTAGGGTACACAACTTTAAGGTCCTTTCTTTATCGATAACGGATTTCGACTTTGCCAACATGTAAGGCATGTACGAGTTTATAACTTTGTCTTTGAACTTCTTGTCGAAGGTGAGCTCAAAGTACCGGGTGACGGGGGCGGGTGATGAGAGTAGATCATCGTCGTTTCCGCTTGAAGAGCTACGTTGCTTTTCGGGTTCCATACAAAGGAATCGCCATCGAAGGGGGATGTTGTCGAATAAGTCGTCGATTTCTTCGCCTTTTTCTAAGCGGATGGTGAGGGACTTGTCCTTGGGAGACTTGCTTATCTTGAGGCGTTCCGTCGAGGGAGTGATGACTTTAGTGGAGAGGTAGACCTCGGCGGAGTCGTAGACTTGGTTGCGGCCAATGCCCGTGGAGTTAACCTCTTCGATGACAAGGGTGAGGGTGTTGGAGCGGTGGTTGAAGAGGCGTTGGAGAAGGGAGAAAATGTAGTTTCGGATCGGGTTCGGAATGAAGTCATGGAGGATGGAGCGTAAGAGCATTGCTAAGGCAGAGAGTGAGGCGTAGGCTGAGAATAAGGAGGTTGCTGTTGGCATTTGGGCTTGGGAGAAATACATTATGTGTTTATTTGTTGGTGTTGTTTTTGGGTGTGTTTTTTTATTTGGGATTGTGAATAAATGAGATCGATGATGTATGCTATGTCAAGGGTATGTATATATAGTTGTATAGTATACTATATGTGGTGAATCATTTTATAGCATGGTTTTAGGAACTTTTTTTAAAAAAAAAAAAAAATTGATTAGTGTGATTTTAGAGTTTAATTAATTAATTGAATTTAGAGTTTCATGCCTGCCTTAAAAGTTGGTGCAAATTTTCAACTTATTTTAAATGTTAAAGTACACTACCTAAAATTGAGGTAGCATAGTTTTTTTTTACAAAATAAATAAAGAAAACGTAAATACCATGACTAAATTCATTGAACAGTAGGAAGAAAATTGAAAATCAAATTCCTACAATATGAGATAGCTTAGTGTAAATTATAAGGTTATATAGTGAAATGATAAAAGTACTCTGTATAAAACCTTAATTTATGTTCCAAAAAAAAAAAAAAAAAAACGGAAGTAATATCCTTTACGCTAAATAAGCCCTAGAGCAAACTCGGTGGACAATGATAAATAAAGGGAGGGAAAGTATACTACCAACTCTACAACTTAATTAATAAATTAGCATGGATAATTGGGATGGAAAATTAAAGGAAAAAATTGAAAATGGAAGAAAATTGTGATCCATTAATTTCACCCATTAATTTTGTTTGTTTTTAGTACTTTTGTAGGCTTCCGAGAAGTTGCATAACAAGTGTAGAATTTTGTATTATTTGTTGAAAAAGGGTGGAGTTTAGGGGGAGAAATGAGTGGTTAACTTTTGAAAAGGAGGGATGGCGTGGGTTGAAGATGTATAGTATAAAGAATTAACAATTAACAATGGCACAATAATCATAGGTTAAGACTTAAGACGTTAAGTGGCCTCCAAGATACATTGTTGAAATGAAAAGTAATTTGCAACAAAATTAAAGTGTTGTAGTAGAGTGCAAAATGTACTGCTTCTGAATAGTTGACGACCCTGACTTTTAAAAGGTTTTCCCATTCACAATTATGGAAAAAACAACCATTGTCTATGCACTTAGCTCGCTCCAGAAAATCAACCCAAAATACCCTACAAGCAAGGGTGCACCACGTGGTTGTATATCAGCTAAAGGTGAAGTGTCGGATTTTTTTCGATGCGGGGTCAGTCAATTAAGGTATAGAAGGTTACAACCATCTATATAGCCTTTCGGGGTGTCATGAGGTTCATCAGAAACACCCTAGCCTCTTTTCTTTCTAAAACTGAAAAAGTCTAAAATTGTCTAAAATTGAAGACTATAGTCTACACTTTTTTACCAATTTTGGAGATTTTTAGACTTTTTGTTCAAAACTTAGCTTTTAAGATGGGATTTTTTAAGCTTTATACGGAAATTATTTACGAAATTGGTCTCGTGGCAAAAGTATTTCCCAAACTAAGCTTCTGAGGTGAAACGCTGTCTCGGACAGCGTTTTACACTCAGTTTTTTTAAAAAAAAAATTCAAGACATAAAACGCTGCCTCAGGCAGCGTTTTATGGTAGTTTGACTTTTTTCAAAAACTTCGTATTTCATACCTGTTTTATACAAATAAACGCTGCCTGAGGCAGCGTTTATATCTTTAAATGAAACGCTGCCTCAGGCAGCGTTTAATGTACAAGCATAAAACGCAGCCTGAGGCAGCGTTTTTATCTGTACATTAAAGGCAGCGTTTCTTGCGGGAATTATAACGAATTCCAGGCCTTTTTTTCTCAATCTCTTTCACGCAATTTACACTCTCTCTCTCACTAACTCTCATTGTCAGCAACAAAGAACCACAACCGTTGCCAACGCCTCCCCTGCCGTGCCGCTGCCCCTGTCGCCGCCAAAGTGAACGGAAGTTGTTGCCGGCATTGTCTCACTCACTCTTTAAATCCGGGTAAACCCTAAATTCGTAGTACATTGTTGAATTTTACATTGAATAGTTGGTAGTAGATAGTTGTTGTATGTTGTAGCAAATTGTGATGTAAATTGTATTAATTTGTTGCTAATTAGTAATGAAATGTGATAAATTGTTGATAATTATTGATGATAATGTGGTACATTGTTGAGGAAAAATATAGGCGAAATTGTTGATTAAATTGTCGACGAAATTGTTGATGAAATTGTCAATGATAATGTGGTTTGTTTTTTATGAAATTCTTGATGAAATTGTTGATGGTAATGTGGTCTATTATTGTGAAAAAAATGATAAAATTGTTGATGGTAATGCGATATTAGTATGTTGATAGTTGTATGCGGTACTAAGAGTTTATGAAATTGGTGATGAAAATGTTGATAATGAGAATGGACTTGTTTCATTGTTGTCATATTAGCTACACATGTAGGTTCTCGAAATTTGATATAACTTTCCATTATCGAAGCTATGTATGTTATGTATTGTTAAATTAGGGTTTTTTGACGTTGTTTTAGAATTCGATTATCCTTAAATGTGTTTTGGTTGGTATGTAGAATATAGCTTCACAAAATGTAGTGTTGTTATGCCGGTGGGGAGGTGAAATTATGTGCGATGGATCAAATGTTGAGTACAGTGGAGGGAATATGGAACTTATAACACTTGAACCGAACATGACTGTGAATGATCTAATGAATGAGGTTCACAGTGAACCGAACACACTGTTAACTTCCAGTTGAGAACCTGTACATGCAACAAACCCCTGATATTCCACCTTCCATGCTCTCATGTTCTAGCAGTGTGTGCGACTTATTCACTGTCCGAAAGGTCGTGGGTGGACCCTTTCCTGCAATCGGATGCGTATATGAACACGTATGCACCACAGTTCTGGCCTATTCCATGTGAGACCACTTGGACGCAGTACATAGGACCTAGACTCATCCCGGACGCCAGCATGGTAAGAGGAAAAGGTCGGCCAAAGTCAAAGCGCATACGTAATGAAATGGATGACACTAACCGACCTAGAACTAAATGCAGCCGCTGTCACCAACAAGGTCACAATCGCAAAACGTGCCCAGCTAGATCAACCGAAACATAAGCTTGTAATTGTTTAGCTATAGTAGTAGAACAGTAGATTCATGTAGTAGTTGATTAATGACGTTATGTAACATTTGTAACGCTTGGATTATATTTGAGATTTGGTGACTTATATTTCGTACTTGTCTTTTACCTGTGACAGTCATGTCAATTTCATTGACTAGTAATTCTATTTTTTAATTGGTTTGGCCATATTGTTTTGAATGAACAGATATCATGGTCGGACACGATCGGATACCAGGACCACTTGACCCTTCTGTCCTTACACTGCAGGATAGACATCGGAGTGTTGACATATGGGAGCAGACGGTAATTTCTCACGTGCCATTTCATATACAGATTTGTCTTGTTTTTTTGTATACTTGACCCTTATTTACAGTTTTTAAATGAATTACCAGGTAGACATAGCGGAAATGTTGGGGTGCAGGCACTTGAGGTCCGGCTGGGCAGTCGATCCACGCGTTCTTCAGTACATCGACTGGGTTGGCTTTGGTGGTATTCATCGCGTGGGCTATAGAGAAATAGATCGAGGGCTTATCACAGCATTAGTTAAGAGATGGAGGCAGGAGACACACTCCTTCCATCTTCCTGTGGGGGAGGCGACAGTCACGCTGCGGGACGTCGCGATACTCACACGCCTTCCCATCCATGGGAATGCGGTGACAGGGGGTGTGGTACTTGACCCCGCAGGTTTAGTAGGTCGGGTTTTAGGGGTTCAGCCAGAGCCAAACGAGATCAGGGGGTGTGGTACTTGTTCTTGCTCATCTCGGGCGTGCTCTTTGGAAACAAGAGCGGAAGCCATCTTCAGATTATTTACCTACAGCTGTTAGACCACGACTGGGATGAGATCCGTGGATACAGTTGGGGTAGTGCTTGTTTGGCGGTCTTGTATCGCCATCTGTGTAGAGCATCACAGCGTGGAGCACAGCTGATTGGAGGTCCTTTGGTTGTGCTACAGGTAAACCTCATCATTATCCTTAAGCCTAGTCTGATAATGACTTGACGTTATTTATGCTTTACCTTTTATTTGATTTTTAAAACAACTATGGGCTTGGGAGCACATCCATGTAAGGAGACCAGGTAGGCCTGTTGTACACCGTCCAGGGCAGCTGGACCAGGACGATCAGTACGCAGCATACAATGCTCCTCCGCTCCCTGAACCCGATCAGGCATACGGTTGTAGGTTCGTAACATTATACTTGTGTACTCAAATTTTGTTATAATTAGCTAGTACAACTTCTTAAATAATTTGTTGCCACAGGTGGGTGGTTCCCAGACTAACACATGCGAATACAGCGAGAGGTCTTCTCTACTACCGTGACGCCCTCGATCGACTCTCGGATGAACAGGTGGAATCTTGCACTAAATTTGTAATCGTTTGTTTACTCTTTATACTGTTTATTGGCATTTCCCTAACCTTTTCACGATATATCCTTGTTGCAGATGACATGGGATCCCTATTCTGCTGTGTTGGTAGAGGCCATGCCGGAACACTTGCTCGAGCATCGTGCTGAGTGGCTTGCCAGGACCCCCATGATCTGTTTCGAGGTCGTGGAGAGCCACCTACCGGACCGAGTGTTGCGACAGTTCGGACTTCACCAGCCTATCCCCATGCCCTGTGACACTAGTATTCGCCTCCACGGCATTGACCGTCGTGGAAAGTTGGAGACAAACTGGGCACTGGAGCATCATCAATTCATTGAGCTTTGGGACCAGCGGTTGGAGTCCATCGTTGACGGTCACCTGTTTCAGGGTGTTATGGATCCGCGTGATCCTTACATACAGGCAGATTACACGCCTTTTCATCAACCCTACCTACACCCCACCGTCCACGCACTACCATCCAGCTTATGATGTTATCAGCGGACTTGTGAGTTTTTTCAGTTTCTTGTTTTCCAAAATTATTTGAAATTCTATATCATATTACTAATTCATGGATGATTACTGCAGGCGGGGGATATGGGTGCGATGGTTGATGCACTTTCAGATGCCTTAGCAGCCGTACCCACCATAGCCCAGGTTGAGCGGGTGCGAGATATGGGCATACATAGCTTGCAGAGATATGGCCATGGCCATCTCGTCCACCCCAGGGACGATCATGACCCCAACTCCTTCCATTCACAGTTCGACTTTGGACAGAGTAGTGGTGGAGGTCATACTTCGGGCTCTACACAGGCAGAGGATTACTTCATCCATAACACCGCTCCCGGCCACAGCCAGGATGACTCATCGTCTCGCCAGCTGACTCCTCCACC